CACATGCAGATTCCTAATTATGAGACTCTACATGCACATGCAGATTCTTAGGAACTGCTGTATGTATGCAATAACTAATTGGCACAGTCTAACCTCTTAACACGTATATCGAACATACTGTTATAGTTCCTAATTGTACTGGTTAAACATTAAAATCACTGACCGTGTTACAAAAACAGGCCACTGAGCTAGCTTAAATTAACTATACAGTAAAGAAATTCACTGAAATATTCTGACATTCGATTTACAATATATTCTGAAAGAAAACATTATTCAGCGTAAAGCAGTTAATAAACCCATGATTGCTGAGCACTGGTACTGTAAAAAAAAATGCCTGTCTTTCAAAATTTACATATATTGTTTTTGTTTTTTTTTAGACTGTTTTGTTCTGCTCTGCTTCTCTTGAAATTACACCAACATTAATGCAAGAGTATTGTAAAGAGTATTTTAAATATATTTTGAATGGGCATACACTACAGTTAACTGGTCCTGGCTACCAAGTGTGAAGTGCACAAAACAGAAAAACTAAAATGTATGTATGTATAGCACTAATACAATGTAGCGTATTATCAGCATAAACTGTTTTCTTATGGGTAACTTATGTTTAAAATGCTGCTAGAACATCAAAATTAGGTGAGAATAAGTAGACAGACGGCAGTGGTAATCAGAGCAGCAGGAGCACTTCCTACAACTGCGTCACAAACCCCTTCTCTAACATGATAACCCACTCTACACAAACACACAGAGCCAACTCCTCCTTCCTTCCTCCAAGAAGAGATCTGAGCCCAACATTTGGGGGATGCACTTCCTTGTCAGACAACCAGTATTGTGTAAGGCTTTCTCTCTGCACCGGCTGTTCTCCAAATTGGATCGATACTCCACGGAGAGAGAGAGAGTGACCTTTTTCACAGCCGGCTGATGGATCTGAAGGTTAAAAACGGCATAAAATATTTCAGGCTGCCTCTAGCCCTCTGGAGACTGGGCAGGGTAGGGAAGCATGGCAGCGTGGTATTGAGCACAAGGGTTTTTTTCCATTTCGGATGTTATAGCAGTTTTCCTGATGTCGCTTTTAATTTAGTAAACGAGCGTGCCACATCGTGGTGTCTCCTTCATGTGTTTGTGTGTGTGTGTGTGTGTCTTAGCATCACTCCAATGAGAACTCTGATTAGATTCAAGATAATTAAATTGGCTGGGTTTGATGATATCTTGAGGGGAATGGAAGGTTTAAAATAGCATAACTACTGAAGGCAATCCCCATTGTCAGTACAATGGAGGGAAGACGAGTTGTGTAAAAATGAATGTATATATCAATAAATAAATAAAATATATATACACGAAGTCAGAGGAAACCCGGCCTTTTTTTTTCATTTAAAGGAAAGGTTCATTAAAAATATCAGTGTTTTCCAATTTTCCATGTACCCCAAAGGTAGTTGATCAGCCAAGTCATGTTTGGTGTCTAATGTATGTTTTGTTAATTTTGCAAACAAGTAATGTAAGTCCTCATAGAGTTCTATTATATTACTTTCGAACCTAAATAACCAAACTTCAGACACCAAATATGTTTTGGCTGATCTCTATGTTTGAAGTGGAAAAACTGTAAATATTACTTTTCGATGAACTGCTCCTTTAAAGGTACAATACGAAATTAAATCAAATTATCCCTTACATAATATTAATTTTGATTAACATTTCATATTTACAAATGGAAAGCCCTGCTTAGTGAATTTTTAACATTTAACTTAAGAATCAGAATGTAAGACTATATTTAATACTATACTCTTTTTACTAATACGATTATAATATTACAGAAGGAATATAAAAATTCTGCAAAACGACTTAAAGATCCCATATTTTTGGTGTTTCATTTACTATAAATATTTTCTTCTTTTCACTCTTTGATGACATTTTATGACACTGCAAGGTATGTACAGAATTTTTGTGGTGTTAATTCATTGTTCATCTGAGCATTTACTCATTAACAAATAGGTGGCGTCATCATGTCCATGTGACATTGTGACAAACATTGTTTTGAGTGTTTGCTCAGACTGATGTGTCCCGCTCACGAGCCCAGCTCACAAAAAAGAGAAATATTAAGATAAGTGTCTTTATGAAACATAATAATGAAATATGTTTAAGTTCAGTTGTAATAATTTGAGGTATATGAACATTCAACGAGTCACAATTATTCCTTCCGTTACAAAAATGGGTTCTCCAATGTTCAGCACCTTATATGTGTGGAGGAGAATCAGACGTCTGTTCCCTGTTTAAACATAAATGTCACCCGTGACAGAAATACAATGCCTACTCCCTCACTAAGTGTTTTACTGAATGTCACATTTCTTCATACTGAACAGAGCTTGCCCAGTCGCTATTAGTTGCATTTCTTGCAACTAAAACGGTTTATTTTCCGGTACTGTAAGAAAGAATAAAGCTTTTCTAATAATAAAGCTGCTCTTCTAGGCAGTGAAGTCAGAATCCTCTTGGAGAAACGGCGACTCCCGATTTCCTGTTCATTTATGAGCCACTTCCTGTACAGAGTGGGCAATAACAGGATGTGGGAAGCAGGTGGTGCTGGAGTGAGGAAGAGGTCAGAGGAAACCCGGCCTCGCCTGAGGAAGCCACTGCAGGAGGAGAGTAAATGGGAGAGCACAGGCAAATATAGCACAACTAGACTGCTTTCAAATGATCATGAATGTCTGCCTTTTCCTTTTCTCATTATGCTTCCTTGCCTTTGTTGCCTTGAAAGTTGTAAAGAAAAGAGAATTCAATTTAGATACGTGTGCAAGGTTACTTACAACTATTTATAAACCTTAATGTTAGAGCTAGGCGATATGGCAAAAGTGTATGTAATATTTATTTTTCTGACATCTGATAAGTTGGAACAGACAAAGTAGTGTCACATTTAAAAAGTATCAAAAACTATGAATACTACTAACAAATATAAAAAATATGAATATTATCAAAAACAATTATTTAAAATCAACATTTCACATACTGTGCTGCACTAAATACAATGAAACAGGACTAATTATGCTCTCTTTGTAACAGAACATGCAGTTCTTCAGTGTTTTTAAGTAATGATCATAGCCACAATATGCTTGGGAAAGTATTTTGTGACATATTGTGATGTTTATCACAATATAATTTATCGCAATAACAGTAAATACTGTCACACTGCCCAGCCCTACTTAAAGTGTGTATTTATTTATGGATGGAGCAATGGTAGTGAAATAGTGCTGCCTTTGTAAAAGCAGACAGAACAGGACAGAGAATGCTTTTAAGGAATTAACAAGAAACGTTCTTTACTTTATTGGGCTTTCTAACTGCAGCTGGATCAGTTCCATCAGTTTCCTTCTCTCATAGTGACATTTGGGGCATATTACTTTCAGTATGTCTAAAGAAAACAGTAGTTTAAAAAGTCAAATTATTATTAAAATTTTCATTCTTGAGGTGATGACCATCAAAACCATTTAGGAAGTATGGTCATTTTGTGAGTGAAAATGAGAAAATGGTGAAAAGCCATCATCGATTTGTCTACTGTTGTGCATGCCGATGTGCTGACATGGAGTGGTGGTCCTGTCACAGTATGGCCTTTAGATGAAGTTTGGTGTTAGCTGTGCTCCTGCCCTGCCACCATTTGGCTGCGAGATTAGCGGCTGTCGATCCTGTCGGGAGGCTGGCAGCTGTTGCTTAACATGACTTCACATCTTATCTTACATCCCTCAGTCAGTGCACTCCCTGGGGCGCACAGTAATGAGACACATGCCACGACAGCCGTGCTTCTGACAACAAGCACAGAAAAACGTGTTTCAGAAACCAGCTCAAACAGCAGGCCCAGTTTGCCCTTCTGACTTGTAGCAGTCTAACAATTAAGGCATCCATGTGCAAATGCACACATAATTGAATACTGAGTAAAATAATACACAAATAATTTATGCTGCCCATCAGAGGTTTGTGGACAGCGACATAGTGCACAGTTATTATGGTCACATTTTGAAGCTGCAAGCACCTTAAATTCAGTATCAGTTCCACTGTGCACGTGGCTGTGTGTGGAAGAGCAGCAGCTGTGGAAGCACACTCCCAGCACCAGCGAGGTGTGTTCCCTGTCTGATAACTCCTATAATTATATGCATTAATAATTAGGCTGACAGCTCTGCAGGAACAGGCAGAATACCCTTCCTGGTAAGTTCTAGGAATCCAGGTTATGGCCCTGCCTTCACAGAGATTGCCCAATAAGCACAAAGAACATTGAGTCTTAAGGGCCTCGCTGGGCAGAGAATTATTTCGGGTTGGGGGGGGTCACTGGTTTAAATTATGCATAGATAGAGCCATGCTCTCTCTTTTTCCTTGGGAGGATTTAATTAAGAAAACAATAAATAAGCAAAGGGAATCAATGCTGAAAACAATGCAAGGGCCAGCAGGATCGATAAAACATATTCGTGAAGTGAACAGTAATAATCGCATAAAGAGGTGGCTGGAGCACAGTCGATGACGGATGTATTTGAGCCATGCTTGGAATATTTGCAAATTTGTTTGTTATACAAAGGCCAGACCGGGGGGGGGTCTGTTTATATCCGTGGAGAACAATGTTTACAACGTGGGTTCTTATAATCAAAATGTCGCTCTTTGGTCTCTTTCTTCCTGTGACTTCCAACACTGTGTTTACGAGATTTTGGTTTTATTGGCAGATGTTAGCAGGCCCAAGGTCACCTGGAGACTTGCATCACATTTAGCACTTCTCCAATAAAGCCAAATTTGAATCTCACTATGAATCGGAGCACTGAATCACAATAAAACAGCAGCGGGAGGTTGTATATAGGACAGCACAGCATCAGAGGTAGATGCAGCTTTTAAGTCTTTTGTTTTAGGCTATCCAAAGTACCTCAAAAATCCTGTGCTGTCTCACAGCTTTCTAGAGACGAAGAGGAAACAGGAGGTGAGAGTGTGTGCAGCAGCAGCAGACTGACAGTGGATGCAGGGATCTATGGAGAAGTTCTCACCTGTTTGATGCGGTCAGGGTTGACAGTGGTCTGTGGCTGAAGTATGCTGACCGGCTCTGTTTTAGGGGCGCTCTGAGGCATCTCCCGCACCTTCTCGGCTATGAAGTCATGGACGCTGTTCAGGGCCTCCACAGTGCCCTGGATCAAGCACACACGCTCAGTCGTTCCTGGCAAAAAGATAGAATGAGAAAAGCAGAGTGAGTTTTAACTCCACCGAATTAAAACATGTTGCCCAAACAGCAGGAGAATGCTAAATGATCTGTATGAAAAGATAATGAGGGGTTTCCAGAGAAAATACATTACGACTCCCGATACTGTCTCGATGGTCCATAGCCTAACCCTTCACAACTTTGCAAGCCAGTTTGACTATTACAGTGTAATAGCATTTGTCCTCTCGTAAAGTGGTCCTCCACTGTAATTTTTCCGCACATTACTTCACATGATGAGGCCACAGAATGGCCATGGCTTTGACTCACCAAAAACCAAAATGTTTTCCAACTGGTGTACAGCATGTTCTCACTCTTAACGACTTTTGGAGTTGTAGATGCTGTGATGTAACACATTTTCCCTTGCATACAACGTGCACTATTAACATTAGCAGGAAACCTACACCAACTGAAGATTAAAACAACTTAAATATAACATGAGTTTTCTTTGCAGAGACTCTATATTACTTGGATTGTTTTTAGAAGAGCACAATGGTTACAAATCTGACTGCCTGACACTCAGTAATTCCTTTTAAGTAGGTGAACCTTTAAAATATGATTGATAGTTCGTTGTAATAGTGACTACAATTCCAGGGTTAGAGCATCTACTCACATAAGTGCTATGGATCTATGAACATGTGGACTGGACTTATGAAAGCAGCTGCAATAACAGTCGTCTGGCAGTGCTACTATTTTCGGCGGTCTATTCACAGACGGTCTTCCATTAGACGCCCAGAAGTCTCCATGTTTAATTAATTCTGATATGATATCGGGTATTGCCTTATGTTCTTTAAGGGCACCAAGAGTATGTCCCCAGTGGAACACAAACAGGGTAAAGGTCTGTATGTACATTAGTTCATGCTGTGTACTGCACAATTGCCGTTCGCACAATTGCCATTGTTTCATGAAGGTTCCGATGTATGTTGACAAAAAGTGGTGTGGCTTCTGACTGCCTCTTAATCCTACTGCATTTTACTGTGGAGGGTGTAGCTGGGAGGGTGATGAAGATTCATCCGCCCTTTAAAAGTCACATCACACAACATGCAATAATGCATGAGGGCGTTCTGATCCTAGAATCAAAACAATAAACGCCAGAGATATAAATGAGAGAGAGAGAGAGAGAGAGAGAGCTAAGAGACTGATCCTGAGCCAGGAATTCTCAGTCTTTTGGCCCTTGGGATGGTGGGATGCAAATGGGCCCTTATCGGGCTGGTGCAGTAAGGGCTTCCGGCTTCCTCTAGCCTGCCATTGTTTTTCTGTAGTGAATGTGATTGGGTCGGGTCCCAAACGGCTGCATGAGTCTCTATAAATACACTGAAATGAAGGAATATCAGACCCATGGTTCATGTGTTGTGAAAAAAAGAGAGAAAACGCTTTGCTGAGCTCCCAACAGCTGGTGGCCCAAGAGTAATCTGGGACGGACCAATCAGGGAGGTAGATTATTAGAGCAGAGATCACCATTGTTTTGGCAGCTAGCAAAGAGGGGGCAGGGTGTAAAGAGACACCAATCCAATGGCAGGCCAAGAACATACACGAATCACAAAGTCTAGTTTGCTCAATTGTTTCATATTGGTACCAGTTTAATAATCTCTTTGTTAGCATAGTAATTGTTACAGTTGCTGATGGTTGTAGCAGTTTAGTGAACATAAATGGAAGTAGTGTAGCACTACTCCATCCGTTAAGGGCTAAGTAATGTTAGCATGTTAACATTCTGCTTCTCGCTGATGTGCTGACAGCCTGTTACACTTGGCAGGCAGTTATGAGTGTGTTGTGAGATGACTCTGGGATGAGCAGGGGGGGCGCTAGAAGGTCAGCAGGCAGTCTCCCTCCCTGCAGGGGGAAGTGTCACATTGTGACAAACATTTAAGTTTCTATTCCACACAGAACACTAAGCATGATGGGCAGTTGGCCTGTCAAAACCCCTGCCTCTGCCACACATGGCAGCCAGGGAGGGGAAAACCCTCAGCAATGTGCACAAGACAGTGTGAACAAAGGCCAGCTGGGTGAGCCGCAATTGTAAAATTCGGATACACATACTCTGTGGGTCAGGGAGCAAACCTTTGGCTAAAGGTCAAGTCCTCCCCTTTTCATACCAGCCTGAGAACAAGACCTTCATCTACAGTAATAACGGGCGTGGTTATTCAAAATATACAGAGCACATCTTAATATTTGTTTACTTGATGAGGTACTCAAATAAGGCATGTGTGGTTTGAAATAAAAATAATAAATAAATAATGTATTATCTTGTAATATTAATTACATTTTTGGCTGAGCAAGTAGAGGAAGCAGCTGATGTTGCATCTCAGGCCAACCGAAATGTGAACTGGTGAACTGAAAGTGTTCAATCACATTCACTTATAACAAAGATAAATCACTAAATCAACTGAACAATCAGGTACAGATTACCTCTAATGCTAGATGAACACATAAATGTACATAGTGTTATGTCCTTAAAATATTCAAATACTGATAGTAATGTTGATATTTATATAGGAAATATGTTTAAAACGGCCATCTACAGCACCATCTGATATACATCAGCATGTGTGAGACCCTCACATGAGGAAACTGCATCTGCTTCCAGTGCAATTTCAGACTTTAAGGCCCAGCAAAAGAAGGTATTGGGCGGTGCGGAGGTTTTATATAGCTGGCTAGGGAATGCCGCCGTCTCTCCTTACACTCGTGTTGTAAATTGTTTTTTTGTGCAATCACTAATTGGGTGAGTCATATATTCCTCCCTCTTGAAAGCTACGTGGACCTCCTCTTCACTGACCCTGCTACTGACAATGTACACCCCAGATGTAAACAAATGTAGTTAGAATAACTGAACAGCCATTATAATGAATGCAACCAGTAGGACATGCAAAGCTTACATGGGCTTGTGTGCCTCTGTTCTACCAAAGTGTTCTTGACTGCTGAGCAATAGAACATGCATTTCAAAGACCGTCTACAATGCAAAGAGGTAAGATGTGACATTAAACAGAGCACTGTGTCTCTAAAACATTGTGATGTGATATTCATTGGTGACTTGTTAAAGGGAACTTTTTATGCTGAGCACTGCAAATGATGCAACTGTATGAGGTAAGTTCTGGGTTCGTTCACATGGAAGCAGAACAGAGCGCTCAGTCGAGCTACAGTATTATGAGAGGTGACTGTGGATGTCATATTCACCCTAAGAAATCCCAGTTATTGCCAGTGATAACAAACGTGTGGTGTAAAGGTATACGAATTCCGTTGAAAGAGTATATTGTAAAGTTTCAGTCTATACCACGTGTATTTGTCAGTAGAAGAGGAGGTATCTTGTTACGATTTGGATTTAAAAGAAACTTTCATTGCTGTTCTATAATGGAAAGAAAAACATCCTTTACATTTTTCACATTTTTTAAAACTGGAAAATGTCAGAAATGTAATTAATGTAATTAGTTATGTAATTATGTAAGTATATTTAAACACTATAGAAAAAAGCCAATAACTAGATGTCAAGTTTAAATTCCCACACTGACTTAACAGCTCTTTCTGTATCGTGCGTTACTATACTCTAGCTACTACCAGGCTATCCCCTGCACTCTGTGGTCCTAAAGGCCTGTCCCTGAGGAGAAGTGTCCCATTTGTTAACAAAAAAAAGTGCTTATCACAGCACATCACAGTGCCATGAAGGAGGCAGGGAAGATGGATTGATCCATTGATTGACAGGGCACTGTACCCATAGAAATAACCACAGTAAATTCAATAACCAATTACGTTGCTTTGTGCAGTATAACGATTGAGAGCAGCTGTTGGGACTAAGGGAAGAGCTATCTGTCTCAGAAGACATGGCGAGAGAGTCGTCCAGGAAATAGTCTCCATCTCCATACTGTAGCTGCATATCTGAGCACGTTTTGGCTTTTTCTTGATTGGCTCCTTCAGAGCCTTCCAACTGAGGCCCAAGAGAGCGCTGGAACATACGACCCTGCCCGTGGACAAGTTTACAGATGTTTCCTGGCTTTGAGGTCAAGAGACACAGGGAGAGAGTGAGAGAGAGAGTGAGAGAGCGAAAGGGGGGGGTGAGGATAAAAAACAGCCATCACCCTTCCTCAGTGACTTGTATTTTCCTGTCCGCCCAACGCAGGCCAGTTGATTGCAGTCTCCAAACAGACGTGTCCCGTAGAAGCCACAGAGAGGACCAAAGACGATGGGGACAGAGGACACAGAGCATGGGACACCTGGGTCCTATTGGTGTGTATGTGCATGTGTGTATGTCACATGAGTGTGAGTGTATAGGCGTGTGAGGAGGCGGGGTGGCAGTCCAGGCCTCATCACCACAGCAACTGGCAGACCCCCTGAAAATATTGTGGGGCAGCTGCAGATGATGTAATGTGTTATTATTTAAAGCAGAAAGGCAGCATGCAAGGCACTGACAGCAAGTGAGTGTTGCATGTGCTTATGTCATTATGTTGGGGGTTGGAGAGGGTGGCTGAGGGGTGTTGGAGGATTTGGAAACGTTTTCCACATAAAAAAAAAAAAAAAACAGTTTATGTCTTTTAAAACTGCATTTAATGCTCCAATACACCTTTGGCTGCTGATGGGACAGAGCAGATGTAGACACTGCTCCAGTCGACTGCACTGAACTGGGGACAGAATTATTTAGGAGGGAAGAAAAACAGCATTCTGTGGCCTTTACCTCTCTCGAAAGTAACAGATCTTCGTATCCTACGCAACAAGCAGGGAGAACAGCAGAGGAAGGATAAGAAAGTCTCAAAAGAATAACAAAAGGCTTGGAAGAAAGGGTGAATTCCTCTTCAGTGATGTCATACTTATTGAGGGTTCTCTCCAACTCCCCCCAACTTCCCTTTAGTTTAACCTAAGCCTGAACACCCCAGCACAGAGCCTCCGATAAAAATCCCCCCTCCGCCCTAACCCACTCTACAGCGATGTTGCTACAGTTACACAGCCCATGGTGATAAACAGCTGAAGAACCGTGA